AAAAAAAAACAACAACAAAAAACACCCACAACAAAAAAAACAACCTTTCATCCTACCCTCAGATTTTGATTTACATTTTAAAATTGCTTCTCTACTTGAGGAAAACTAACACAAAATAAAAGTGTGTTTGACATTACCTCCTGTCCTGAGACTGTCACATATTGTGCAGAAGGGTTTTTGAGTATTTTTCGTATTTCTTGCAAATGTATTTGGATCTTATAAGTAACTTCTTGAATTTCATCCTTTCTCTTTTTTATTAAAGGGAAATCAGAAAGATCACTGAATAATTCAGTTTTATCCCCAGACCTAAAAAAATGAAAAAATGCAAATACATATATTGAACCACATTACTTATATCAATTATCAATTCTTTTTCATAGCATAATGAAAGACCAAAGGGTGGGAAGTCAGGAAAACAAGGTTGTAATCTCAGCTTGTTCACTAAATATTTATGGGTCAGTTTCTTAATATCTTTGAAGAGAGACAAAATTTCCCTAACATCATTTTCGTTTTTCAAGTTCGTTAGTCTCAAGATGAAACCAAGAGATGAAATTAAATATTTGTAGTTTATTCAGAAAGTAAACACAATGCAAATACTGTCAAATCTTTTTTCTTATATATAGAGTTCCTTGTGTGATGAATTGTGAAAAAATGACTACCTCTAAACGGATACCTTTGCTTCTGTAGTTTCTGAACATAAAGCAGATCATCTCTAGACATCTAGCAAATAAGCATAAGATGCCATTTGCCATCTGTTTTTAGATTAATAAACTGCTACTGTTTGCTCAACCTGGATTTTATCTTTTCATCACCTGACACCTGGAGAAGTCCTACATTTGTTCTACATGACAGAACTGCATAAATTTTAGGCAGCAATGTGTTTTTTCCAGCTATAATATAGAGCCTCTAGTATCCAATCATATTTGTACCTTTACATGCAACTTCTCCCATTACTTCTAGGGAAGCTTAACCATCTACACATCAAATGGCAAACACATTACTTTCACCGCTAGAAAAGAAGTAAGAATCTGCTACTTACTTGGCAGCTTGTTCGTTAAGTATCTTTAAGTAACGGTCCACTGGACTGAGGAGTTCGGGAATTTCTAAAATAACTGATTGGAGCAACTCTGACTGAACAAAGGAATTAACAGCAGGTACCAATGTTTGAAATTCTGACTTCAGATAATACAGAGTTTTGACAATCAGGAAGAACTCTTGGGTAGAACACTGAAAATAGAAATATTTTTTTACCTAAATAGCATAAGATACATGAAAATGAAGTTTAGTCAGTGGTCCTTTTAAAGTTAGAATCAGAATAAAAGAAAATTTTAATGTATTGTATAAATTAGTTAACTGAAATAAAATACTGTTGATACCTCCTAAATGTTAAATCAGTAGTTTAAACATTTTATAAAATAATAGTTTAAAGCTATAAAGAAAATAACCTGAGTCAGGCATAGGAAAGCCAATAACTTGCTTGGTATTTTAAAATTTAAAACATTGACCATATAACAAAAATTGACCATATAACAAAAAATACAGTAAACAATGTCACAAACGAAAAAAGAACAACTCTGGGGAAATAGCTGCAAAATACAGATAGAGCGATAAAGGGCAAAATTCTCCCAAGTATAATGAGGTTTTGCAAATTGACATATGAAAGGTGAATAATCCAAAGAATAATGGCCAAGAAAACTGAATATGCAGCTCATAGGGAAAAACGTCCAATAAGCATATGATTAGCTTCACATATAATTATGAAAAGCAAATTAAAATGACAAGGTAGCGTTTTTCACTTATCAGAATGTCAAAGATTTAAAAGTTTGATAATAGCTAAGTCACACAGGGTATGAAAAATAACACTTTTATATACTATTAGTAAAGGCTTAACCTTTTTAAAGAGCAATCTGTCATAGATTCGTAATAAAAAGTGCATATACCCTTTGACTAAACAATTGTATTTTTAAGAATTTAACAAAATACGTTTTACAAGTAGTGAAAAAATATGTGTATTTGAATATTTATAGTAGCAGTGTTGATGATAATATTAAAAAGTGAGTAAGAAACAAATATCTAGCAACTGAGATCTTATTAGGAAAAACTCATTCAATTTAACACTATAAAACAGTTAAAAAACTAAGATGTCTGTAAATACTGATGTACAGATTGATACGGAATTTCATATCAACATATATTGAATATACACAGTATATTTTTACACTATGTACTATATATGTATTTACACAGTAAAATTTCATTTGTGATTCTTTAAATTATATATATTATTCTACTGAAATAAAAGCATAAATTAAAAATTTCAGGAAAGGTACACATGTAACTTATTCCAGTTACCTCTGGGTACTGGATATGCTGGAGGGTAGTAAAGGGAGACTTTCTACTCTTTATTTTACATCCCTGGATGCTGTTGTAATTTTATAACATGACATGAATAATTTTTTTTTGAAGTTTTGGATAAAGAAAGTGACTCAACACATGCATGTGATTTCACTCTATCTTGAAGCTATAGTCCAGGATTGTTTAGAAAGAAATGAAATCTCAAGAATAATTAGGAGAAAAAAATAATAGCAACAGCCCCTTCAAAGCCACAAAGTAAATGGACAAGTGGTAATCGACTTGGAAGACTCAGGATATTTGAATCTCAAGCAGACCATGAGGAAAACTAGGACCCAATTTGAGTTACACCAAGAATCCTAAAAGACTCTGGAACTGGTGGTATAAATTACCTTTGGAAGTGAAAGCTGTGGGTAGGGGAGTTGGGAGGGGAAAAAACAACTGGTTGAAAGTGAGTTCAAGGGGGAAGAGTATAGCTCAAATGGTAAAGCGCATGCTCAGCATACATGAGGTCCTAGGTTCAATCCCTAGTACCTGCTTAAAAAGATAAAATAAATTAAATAAATAAATAAACCTAATTACCTACCCCCCCCCAAAAAGAAAGTGAATTCAGCAGCCATTAAATCCCTCAGTCCCTATTCCTCACCATGCCACCGAGCAACCACCATTTTCCTACCTTACAGAAGACTACAGGTGACCACTGAACAACATGGAGGTTAGGGGTGCATACCCTCCACACAATAAAAAAATCTGAGTATGACTTTATAGTTGGCCCTCCATATCTGTGGTTCCGCCTCCAAGGATTCAACCAACATGGATCATGCAGCATTATTAATACGTATTTAATGAAAAAACTCTGAATGTAAGAGGACCTGAACAGTTCAAACCCATGTTGTTTAAGGGTCAAGCGTAATTTTATTTTCAAGAGAAAGTAAAACATGGGTATCTCAACTAGCTTCAGGTACAGTGAAGGATGAGTGTACACCAGAATTAAGGGATTAAAGGAATGATTGCAAACCGAATGCTGAGATTCCTGGCTATCCCTATTTAGCTCCCAGAATATTGACAGCCATTTAGAAGGCCAAAAGAATCCCTGGGGAAATCTCACAAGCATAAGAGGAAAATTCTCCCAATAAATGAACCATCAAGGTCGCTCTATAGTTCACCCCCTATTTTGCAAGCCACATTCAACTACATAGATTTTGCTATCAGCATTTTAGTCCTCCACTCTTTAAAAATGATCAGAATAAAAAGTCTAATGAAATGCAAAAACTAAAACAAATAATCAACCAATCAATCAACCAACAAATACAAGCAAGAACAGAGCCTATACAGGTAGAAGAAAACTTCTAAGAAAGAAATTGAATAATATCCTCAGTTAAACAGAGAATATTGAAATAAGAATATATAAATAAACAGAGAATCATGAAATAAGAATGACATGCTATTTTCTTTTAAAAAGAACTTTCAGAGAACAAGAAAACAACCAAAATTCGTAGAAATTAAACTTGAAAGCAGAAATAAAAAATGCAACAAAAGAGGTAGAAGATCAAGGTGATAAAATTTCTAAGAAGGCAAAGCAAAACTGTAAAGAGATGAAAAATACAGAAGGTTTGATAATCAGTCCAAAAGATTCAATCAACTCAAATAATAGAGTTGCAGAAAGAAAGAAATCATCAAAAAAAGTAGTTCAGAAAAATTTCCCAGAACTTGGTTGCCAGATTAAAAGGGCCCAATACAATGGATTACAATGGAAGATAAACAAAACTGGTAAACCTTTAGCCAGAATCATCAAGAAAAAAAGAGGACCTAAATTAATAAAATCAGAAACGAAAAAGGAAAAGTTACAACTGACACCACAGAAATACAAGGGATTATAAGAGGCTACTATGAGCAACTATACGCCAACAAAAAGGACAACCTAGAAGAAATGGACAATGTCTTAGAAAGGTACAATCTGCCAAGACTAAACCAGGAAGAAACAGAAAATGTAAATAGACTAATTACCAGTAATGAAATTGAATCAGTAATTTAAAAACTCCCAACAAACAAAAATCCAGGACCAGATGGCTTCACAGGTGAATTCTACCAAATATTTACAGAAGGGTTAACATCTATTCTGAAACTATTCCAAAAACTTTCAGAGGAGGGAACACTTCTGAACTCATCTGATGAGGCCACTGTCACCCTGATACCAAAACCAGACAAATATATCACAAAGAAAGAAAATTACAGGTCAGTATCACTTATGAATATAGATGCAAAAATCCTCAACAAAATACTAGTAAATCAACTCCAACAATATCTTAAAAGGATCATACACTATGATCAAGTGGGATTTATCCCAGGGATACAAGATTTTTCAATATCCACAAATCAATGTGATATACCACACTAACAAACTGAAGAACAAAAATCATATGATTATCTCAATAGACACAGAAAAAGCTTTTGATAAAATTCACCATCTATTTATGATAAAAACTCTCCAGAAAGTGGGCATAGAGGGAAATACCTCAACATAATGAAGGCAATATATGACAAACCCACAGCTAACATCATACTCAATGGTGAAAAGCTGACAGCATTTCCTCTAAGATCAGGAAGAAGACAAGGATGCCCACTTGCTCACTCTCAGCACTTTTATTCAATACAGTTTTAGAAGTCCGAGTCACAGCAATCAGAGAAAAAAAAGAAATGAAAGGAATCAAAATTGGAAAAGGAGAAGTAAAATTGTCACTGTTTGCAGATGACATGATACAGGAAATCCTAGACACTACCAGTAAATTACTAGAGCTCAACAATAAATTCGGTAAAGTTACAGGATACAAAATTAATATACAGAAATCACTGGCATTTCTATACACTAACAATGAAATAGCAGAAAAAGAAATTAAGGAATCCACCCCATTTATGATCACATCAAAAAGAATAAAATACCTAGGCATAAACCTACCAAAGGAGGCAAAGGACCTGTACTCCAAAAGCGTAAGATACTGACAAAAGAAACTGAAGATGGCACAAACAGATGGAAAGATACATCATGTTCTTGGATTGGGTGAATCAATATTGTTAAAATGGCCATACTATCCAAGGCAATATACGGATTCAATGCAGTCCCTACCAAATTACCAATGACATTTTTCACAAAACTGGTACAAAAAATTTTTTAAATTTGTATGGAAACACAAAATTCCCTGAATAGTCAAAAAATCTTGAGAAAGAACAGAGCTGGAGGAATCACGCTCTCTGACTTCAGACTATACTACACTACAAAGCTACAGTAATCCAAACAGTATGGTCCTGGCACAAAAACAGACACATAGATCAATGGAACAGGACAGAAAGTCCAGAAATAAACCCAAGCACTTATGGTGACAAAGGAGGCAAGAATATACAGTGGAGAAAAGACAGTCTCTCTAATAAGTGGTCCTGGGAAAACTGGACAGCTACCTGTAAAAGACTGAAATTAGAGCATTCTCTAATACCATACACAAAAATAAACTCAAAATGGATTAAAGACCTAAATGTAAGACAAGATACTATAAAACTCTTAGAGGAAAACAAAGGCAGAACATGCTTTGACATAAATCAAAGCAGTATTTTTTTCAAACCAGCTCCTAGAGTAATGGAAATAAAAGCAAAAATAAACACATGGGAACTAATTAAACATAAAAGCTTTTGCACTGCAAAGGAAACCATAAACAAAACGAAAAGACAACCTACAGAATGGGAGAAAATATTTGCAAATGACATGACCGACAATGGACTAATTTCCAAAATATACAAACAGCTCATACAGCTTAATATGAAAAAAACAAAACAACTCAATCAAAAATTGGGTAGAAGACCTAAATAGACATTTCTCCAAAGAA